CCCTGATTTGGCAGCATGTCCACACATTCTCACACACCCTGATCTGGCAACAGAGCAATTTTGAAGGCCCTGATCTAGCTGTGGGTAGACCCTGTGCATCAGTCAAGTCTATCACACAGAGGCACATTACTGGCCTGCAAAGCTCCCCCCAGGTTCAGAAATTTGGAAGCAGGGGAGCAGCACTTAATGTTACCACCATTCCCCACCTGCCAAATTTCCAGACCCAGGCAGAGCCCCACAGGCATGATAACATAGCTTCCTGGGGCCGGATCTGGCCCATGAATCAGAGGCTGAGCATCACCAGTCTAGACATACTTGATCCCAACTCTGCAGAGAAAAGACAAGATGTTAGAATAGCAAAACAGTGAAGAGACTGCTTGAAGAAGTTGTGGAACCTCCTCTGTTGAAGTTTTCAAGAGGAGGCAGAATAAATAGAGATGATTTAGGTGTAGGCAAGTGTTTGTTTAACTTATTCTTAAAAGATTCAGGAACAATCCTCTTGCACAGTTTCCAGGAATAAGGCCCAAAACAGTAAGTCTCCTTTATTTGCTCCAGGCAAAGCAGAAGGATGAGGGAACTGCCAGTATCCTGCCACTGCAGGGACAGGAAGTAATTGTTAAATATGTTCAACAAATCTAACGATAGGGACCGCCCTGCCTCAAAGAAGGGGTGCCCACGGAGATCCCTGCAAGTCCAAAAAATTGGTGGTAAGGGAGTAGTTGTCACTAATTTCCAGACCTGAGGGGAGCCCAACGAGCCAGACAGCGTGGCCCTGCACAACAGACTGGGTGAGCATAGTAGTGCAGAACCTGAGCCTGGCACGTGGGACCAGCCGGAGGTGGCACGGGGACAAAGCCTGGTGCATAGGGCTAATCCACCCCACAGGCTGGCCCCGTGCCATTCATCTGGCCCATGGGATCAAAAGGCTGAGCATCACTGGACTAGGTCCTCTCTTGAGGGCTCTCCCAGGCCTGCTTTTCTTATTCTAAAGCATCTTAGACAAGTATTTATCTAACCTGTTCTTAAAAACTTACTCTTACAAACTTTGGGAGCAACCCTTAGACACAACTTCCAGGCACAAGGATTTCATCAAAGATGTTTATACTGTAGTTCACATACCAGCAATCAGCACATTGTAACATAATGGTATCTGGCTTGTCTCCCTGAGTTTCAGACCAGCAGATAACAACACACACAGAGACACAAAGTGCGTATCATGGTGGGAACGCGACGCAAGGAGGCGAGATGCTTGGCGCGAGGCTGAGTGCCAGACCAAAGGCAGCATCCAGGCTTCCTAGCCCACTGCCAGCTCTGTCACCCAGGCAGTCATTTAGACATGGTACTGAAGGTGGCTTTGCTGGAGAGATGGTTCAACAGGACTTGCACAAAAGCGATGCAGCTCCCTGCCAGCAGCAAACCTTTCTTTTCTTTTTTTGGAAAATTTTTCATATTCAAGGTCAACTTAGCCAAATCCTCTCAACTGAGCAACACTCAACAGTTTAAACACCATATGTGGTGCTACAACTGGCAAGTATCCTCCACCCCAGACTTTTCAGTCCAGGGCTTCAGATACTCCCAAATCCATCATCCTATGTGCAGGCCCAAGCCCAGAGACTTGGGGTTTGGATGCCCACAGGTTTTGCCTGCCCTCAGCGGTATGGCTGCAGAAGCAAGCTAGGCAGGTTCCCTCCATTTCCACAAAATCAGTGTGTAGCCAAGATCCTCCCACTGGAAACTGACCAGTGGGAAGCTAATTGCAAGACTTGTAGGGCATCCTGTTGGCAGTGCACTGGGCAGGGGCACACTCTCCACTACAAGCTGCCGTTTAAACCCATCCCTATCTAAGCAACAGACTTGATCAGAGCCACAGGCTGCCCCAGGCATGAGTGGCATGGCCAGGGCTGTGCGTCCCATCCCCCGGCGAACCCGGGTGGGGCCCTAGCGGCTTCGTCTGCTGCCCTGCAGCAGAGCAGGCTGGGGGAGCGGGTCCTTACCTCGGGTACAGTCCCTTGCTGTCCCCGGGGCCGAGGGCCCCGCGCTGCCTGCTCTCTGCCAGCAACGCGTCCACCTGCAGCAGATGGGCCGGTCAGCGGGCCGGGGAACGGCGGGCGCCCCCCTGCCTCCCCTGGTCCCCCCTCACTCCCACCCCGCAGGGGCAGCACCTGCTCCCGCAGTTCGCGGCTCCGGCGCTGCACGCGTTGCAGCGGGCCCCGGCCCCGGCCCCGGCTACCCCGGCCCAGCCCGGCCATCGTCGCCACGGCAACGAACGCGCGGGCGCTCCCCGGTGACGTCATCCCGCGGCACCCGAGACTTGGCTGCCGCGGAGCCCGGCTGCAACAGAAGTACTAACATTCCCGGCATGCAACGGGGGCACGGAGCCGGGCTCTGCGCTCAGGAACGCAGAGACCCAACATGCAACGAGAGGGGGGGCAAGAAAGTGAGGGCCGTAGCCCACGCAGCCGCAGTGCATCATGGGAGCTGCAGTCCCCCGGGGAAGCTCAGGCCGCGTGCAAGCAGCGACGATAGCTGAAGATACGGGCGGGATGGAAGAGCCTTGACCAGGCCGGTTCCCGCTCTGGAAGCTGGACTTCTTATAGGGAGCCGTGTTTCGAGCCAGAATAAAAAGATGAAGCTGCTGCCTTCGTTAGTAGCGCCCAAGCCTGAAGAGAGGACCCCAGCCTGCAGAGACACCCTCAGTCTTGGCCATAAGGGGCATTTAAGGGAAAAGATATAATCTTATAAACGGGCTCTGACAGAACAATTCGTGGGCACATCTAGGATTTTGAAAAAGGGGAGCTGGGTGCAGACGGTGCACTAGTTATCACACAGGCTGGGTCCAGACAAGTGTGGACTTGCAGTATGTGGGGTATGTGGCTCTGCAGACCCATCTGCAGTGCCACGATGCACGTGCAGGTGTTCCCTGTGCCGCTGCCTTGCAGCATGAGAGGGTGTTTTTGGTCAAAAAAATCCAAGAACACACCTGGCACAGGCGTTCCTTGGGAACAAGCAGCAGTGGCACAAGGTGTGCCACTGCTAATTGTCCCTGGGAAACCAAACATCCATGCTTGTCTGGACATGGCCATAGAAGACAATTCGTATTTAATTCCAGTTAGAGAGAAACTAGATGATCTACCAATATGTTTGAGGGCTAGTACTATATTATTCAGTTCACAGCCAAAGCAAAAAACAAATATAAGTATTGGAATGTGCACTTATTTGCTTGGTTGTATACATAAAATTTAAGAAAACACCAAAATAGGCAAAAGAGACTGTCATTAGTCATGTAGATATTATAATGAAATGTACATTTCTAATTCATATTCACAAAACTAAATCTAGCTTTCTTGAGCATCTTGACAGTGCCTCTGATACTTCACTGTTCAGTTACTTATACACCCAAATTAAGGTTCTTAGCTAGAGATTGGGTGGGCCAGGAATCAGTGGTGTAATACCACTGCAACCCCCCCAGAAGACTTGTACCATTTTAGACACAGGCAGGCTAAGTCTACACTGTTCCCATATTAAAATGGTAAAATTCACTATCAGATATGGCTTAAACGCAGAATGTTCAAAAAATTATTTGAGGTATTGCATAGAAATCTTTGTCACTCCCATCACTTACTTTTAAGAAATATGGGATACACATTAAGATGACAATCCATGGCAAAAAGAGCTTATGAAAATACCTGATATTTATTCATAAAAAAAATGTACAGGTATCATTTGACAGCATGTGCAGTTTGAGCTATCACATGAACAATGTTGCCCAATAAACAATATGGGTACCTATTAAATACTGATCTCAGCCCCATTTGGTACAGCCTGCTCATAAAATTTATGCCAAATCACTTTTAGGTAACTTAATATAGCATTAGTTGTAAAAGCGTAACTGCATTTTGTTGACCTATCTTTAGCACTCTTGAAGAAAATGTTACATAAGCCTGTTGTTCACTGTGGCAGGTGCCAGTCACACAACCCAAAGCATCTAATGTTACCTATTCAAATGTAAGAAATGCTAGGAAAAGCAAAATGACAGGAGAGGTCGTAGGAAAGCATTACATTAGCTTGAGAATAAAGTGCCAACCAAGTTCTGAATCTCCATGGAGTATACTTTGCATCATCAGCTCAAGGTGTTTTAAAATGAGTACAGACTTCCTTTGAAATTCATGAAAGAAACATTTGGAGGAAAACAGTTGTGAATACAAGTGCAGGGAGATAGAAAAATAGCAATAGACAAGACAGCTGAAGCACGAGGCTAAGCCTTGTCCCCCCCATCCCTCCAAAGACATCAAAAAGTCCCAAGGACTTCTACTGAATAACAGGCATCTTTGCTGGACATATTCCTGATGTAAAAAGTAAGTCTAAAGGACTGATAGAGACTCTGAATTTTATGCCTAACATGATATCATGAATTCATGATTTTATCTCACCCATGTATACTTGTGTGCCATTCTATAATTTTCACTGACCTTTTGCTGACGTGCTTGTTCCCACCTCCTCTCTGGGCTTTAACATTAGGCTCTTAACAAGTTTCATAAGCTATATTTTAACTTTACTAAAGTTTGAACTTAACAAGCAACCTAAATTACATTTTATTAGCTTTAAAAATTGACAGTTTTGGTGGCAAGAGTCATATACTGTTCAGAAGCAGGTTTAGAGTCAAAAGACACAGGGACAAGCAAACAGAAAAGTAAAGAAATAGAACAGGACCGTCTGCAGGGGGCGAATCAGAGCAACTGCCCCAGGCCCGGTGTTTTGGGGGGCCCTGTGGAGCCGGGCAGAGTGGTCATGGCAATTCCATGCTGCCACCAGCTTCATGTCTGGCCGCTCACCACCCCCCCGCCCCGCCACTGAATCTGCTGCCAAGTTCCTCGTGTCCTGGGGTAAGGTCCCACACAGGCTGATTTGCCCCAGGCCCCTCACCCTGCTCGGGTCATCTCTGAGAACAGGGGTGTCAAACTGTCCTTAGAACAATCCTCAAAAATACAAGGCAACAGATATGCAGTCATAGTACCAATTTAACTCATCGTAGCCATACAGAGGTTATTTTAATACACATGAAGATCATTTTTGGAGATGTCAGTTTGGGCGAGCGAGACTATTATACCACAGATGCCTTCTTTTTCAAGTGACGAAGTGTGCGAAGGTATTTGTGTTATATAAAACCTCATTTCTTCAAATATATTTAGATACAAAGGGAGCAGGAGTCTGTTTGTGTTCATTCAATTGTCGGCTTCCATCCCAGTCAGGCTGTTAAAGAAAGTGAAATATAAATGTGAATGCTACATTGCAAACCTGAAGTAATTTAAATTATAAATAAAAAATACAGTCAAAACAATGTTCACTCATGTTAAACCATAGTTACAATACTCCAGCAAGAGAGAAAAATAATCTCAAAAATAGGTTTTAGAATACTATATTTAAAAAAAACCACAAAACAAAAAAATAAACAGGTCTGGAAATACTCCAAGCACAGACAGCATTGAGACTGATAAGCTACAATAAAGCAAGCTTGAAATGTCAGGAATTTAGAGCAGGCTATAAAATGATGTAGAATGTAATGGTCTATTTACAGCTGTCTACAATTGTCCTTGGGAATGGAAAATCTTAAAATTAAACTTAAAAAATGACAGCATAGTATCTGACTTATATAATGTTGATACATTTTCAAAGAAGGCAGACATGTCCAGGAGATGCCACAGTGTCAGCACTACTTATGATAACCACATCATGCCATACGGGCACTTGAAAATGTGTACTTTGTTGTTCTTTGAACACCTGTCACATGCAACCCTCTGTTCCCCTGCTGCTCATGTTCCTTCCCTGCAAGCAGTCAAACATGCCAGAGCTCTCAAATGTGATAGTTCCAGGATGTGTAATGTCCGCATCAAATCAAACCCTGTAGGAAGTTATCAATCATGTAAGACAGGTCTCATGGCATAGAACCAGTTAGCAGGCCAGGTAACAGTCAGGGACCCCTGCATGCTGGATCCAGCACACACAGCACCCACTTTGGCCAGTCTAAATGGGAGGACCTGCTGGGAAGAAGCCTGGCATGGCCAGCACTTGGCTACTGCTGGTGGAATAAGCCGCAGTGCTGGGCTTCTTCCTGCAGTGCTGCTGGGGCTCCAGCACCACTGCTTTCACTTGAGAGTCTGGCAGCCAAGAGGGGCAAAACTGGCAGGCTGGATGATCTGGCTAGATCCAGCCTGGGTCCACGTTTGACACCCCTGATGTAAGACATGAAGTTTTCAGCAATTTAGAAAAGACAGCCAGACAGCCCAAAACTTAACGGCCCATCAATCCCCTAAAAACCAAACTTTACTAAGAACAAATCACTTGGCATTTCTAGACAATACCATTACTGTGCTGTGCTGCTGCCAAACCAAACTAGGGCGGGAGCCCTGCTATTGTAAGATGGAGCTCTGCCATATCAAGTCCTAGCTCAGGATCCCCTTACTACCCCCTCACAAACATATAATGCATCCCTTATTAGAAGTTTACACATTATCATTGCTAATATTGTTTTGGGACTTTCCTGGGAGGGTACAAAATTTTGAAGTTTGGATGCTGACACAAAGCCAGTCTGAACCAGACAGCAATCTTGCCACATTTTATATACTATTCTCCCCTCCCTGCACAAAATGTATCTGTCTACATCTATATACACATGCACCGTATCCAGAGATGACCATAGGGGGGTGCAGGGTCCAGGGCAAATCAGCCTGTGTGAGGCCCCTTTAACACTGTGTGAGGCAGGGCTGCAGCTACTCCGCCCAGCTCCCATCTGGCTCCACAGGGCCCCCCAAAGCGCAGGGCTAAGGGCAGTCACCCTGATTTACCCCGTCCCCATGCCCTGAAAGGGGCCCTGACCATATCTATAGATGTATCTAGACATATGCACACACACATATATACACATACATGCGTATATACATATATATGTGTGCATGTGTGTGTGTCTATATGATATATGTTTGTGTATTATATATATGTGTGTATAATATAAGTGTGTATGTGTGTGTCTATAATATATAGAGGCTGGAAGGGACCTTATCGAGTCCAGTCCCCTTGGACATATACACACATATATAGATATGTATGCATGTATACTCACACACCTATGACATGTACGCACACACATCTCTAGCTATAGGAGCGGGGTGGGGGGTTGTCCGGATGCCGAGGGCCCCGCCCCGCCGGACACGCGTGCGCAGGGCAAGCACGTGGCACGGAGCCGCCCCTCCCGAGCCCAGCTCACCGGTCAGGCCAGATCCAGCTTCTTCTGCGTGGCCGCCAGCTGGGCCTGCAGACGCCGTTTGCGCCAGTCGAGGAAGCGGCGGCGCACGCGGCTGGCCTGCCAGCCCACCAGCACGCCTGAGGCGAAGGCCAGCACCAGCGCCAGCTGCACCGGCCGCTCCGACAGCGCCTCCGAGCCCAGCGCCATAGCCGCCTGCCTCCCGCCGGGTGTGGGCGGGGCTTCCCTGCCCGCCCCAGTCACGGGGGCTGGGGGGATGGCAACCCGCGCTGCATGGTTGGAAATGCCGCTGCCTCCGCCGGGCAGTTCGCTTCAACCGTAGGAGGAGAGGCCAGCGGGGGGCCCATCTGCCCCTGCAGGGCAGCCCATGCTAATACTGGGAAACTTTCCCTCTGATCCGTTTAGACAGAGCTGTGACTTCCCATCTTCTTTGCCCTTCTTGCAGCGCTGGCTGACTCCTGCGGGGAGGTGAGGCAGAGCAGCCCCCGGGCAATCCAGCTCTCTCAACCCTGGGCTATAACAGGGAACCTCCCAGGCAATAAAAAGATAAGGCAAACCTGAAATCAATATTTTACATCTAAAATGGAAAGAAAGGGAACTTGACAGGGTCATCACTTTGCAGTTCTGACTTGTAAGCATTGATAGGGGAGACTAAAGGTATTGGAAACCTGTGGGCAGTTCAATTAAGGACAGTAAGAAGGAATCATTGTAAATATAAGAAATACAAGCAAAGGGTGGGGGGGCATTACTATGGTAAGTCTTCAATAACAATGCAAAAAAATTCAATAAACATAAACGTTCTGTATTTTGCAAAACAGCTGGATGATATTCACAGCTGAAAGTAATAATGACACAGTTTTATTTGAACAACAGATAGACTATTCAATAGCAGCTCCTAAAGTTAAATGAGAGAATCAGCAGTGAGTAGATTGTTTCCAGGGGTATTCTGCAGGGTCAGTTTTTAACGAGGACCTGGAAGAAAACAAATCATTCCTGACAGCCTCTGCAAATAACCATCAGGTTATTACTCGGAGCACTGAGAGTCACTTGGTAAACTGGCACCTCAATGTGCAACCATCCATCTGGAAACAAAGAACATACATATAGGATGGGTAACTCAGTCCTAGGAAGCAGGGACCTTTGGATATATAAATGGGAATACTGGGCAGGAGCATAGAGATTATTAAGTCTTTACTGGACAGAAGGGGGACAACTGCTGCTGGAAGTGCCTTGTTTGGGACTGCACAACTCAGGAAGGATGTTCAGGAACGGTTTGGAGAAGAGCCACAAGTATGAGTAAACGATCATAAAATCTGTTTAGGAAGAAAGTCCTGGAGCTCTATTTATTTTATCAATACAAAGATTAAGGCTGTTGTGATCAGAGCCTACGAATATCTAAGAAGGAGCAGAAGTGTGAAAAGAGGGTTCTTCATTTTATCAGACAAATTATAACCAGGTTCAATGCTGGAAGTTGAAGCTAAACATCAGGCTAGAAACAAGGCACAGTTTTTTTAACGGTGATGATACTTAGCCAATGGACTAATTTATGAAGAATTGTAGTGGTTTTTCCATCACTTGAAATTTTCAAGTCGAGATTTGATGTTTTCCCTGAAAGATGTGGTCATTCCAAAGAGATTAATTCAGGGAAGACTCATACCTTCTGTTATAAAGGAGATCACACTAGATGTTAACAAAGGTCCCTCATATAATCTGTTAATCTGTAGATTCTATTGTATATCTGCAGGACCAGGTAATTTGTATCTAAGAATTTTGAAAGAGTTGGCCAACGATCTGACTCAATCACTCATTGATTTTTAACAAATCTTGGAACTTGAGAGGAGTTTCAGAAGACTGAAAAAGACCCAATTTTATGTCAGTAATCTAAAGGGCAAATGTGATTATCTGAATGACTACAGGCTAATTATGGTTCAAATCCCCACTAAAACCACAAAAAGATTGCAATGCAATCAGTGAAGAATTAATGCATGGTAGAATAATTAATACTAGGTAGCATACCTCAGCTTCCTGTAAGAATTTTTTTCTCAGTCCTATATGCTAACCTAATTAAAAAATTATCACCATCCATAATAAATGCAGCACATATTAAATGAATTAAAATGGACTCTTATATACCACAAAAATAGTATTAAGTGGAGAATCATTATCTACTGTGGGTGTTTCCGCAGGGATCTGTGGTTGGCTCAGTGCTATTCAATATTATGACCAATAATTTGGAAGAAAATATGAAATTGCTGATGGTAAGAGTGACAGAAATTGGTGGAGTGGAAAATAATGGTGGAGAAATTGTCAACGCAGGACCATCCCGAACTATACAATCCCAGCCAAAGCTTTGCCTACTTGGGTCGTAAAAACCTCTAAGGACAGAGATTCTACAGCCTCTGTGGGTAACCTGTTCCAGTGCCTTACTACCCTCTGAGTGAGAAATTTTTTCCTATTATCGAAGCTAAACTTCCCCTGCTGCAACTTGAGACCATTGCTCCTTGTTCTGTCATCTGCCACCACTGAGAACAGTCTAGCTCCATCCTCTTTGGCACAACCCTTCAGGTAGTTGAAGGCTGCTATTAAATCTCCTCTCAGTCTTCTCTTCTCCAGACTAAATAAACCCAGTTCCCTCAACCTCTTCCCATAAGTCATGTCCCCCAGTCACCTAACCATTTTCGTTGCCCTCCACTGGACTCTCTCCATTTTGTCCACATGGTTTCTGTAGTGGGAGGCCCAAAACTGAACACAGTACTCCAGATATGGCCTCATCAGTGCTGAACAGATGAGGCCATCTGCTGGCAACGCTCCTACTAATGAAGGTTGTAACCAAACTCCATTATAAAACTTGATCTTATTCAGACAACTGATCTGGCCTGAGCACTGTCAGAATTTCTCTAAGAGGACAAGGGGCCCATCATGCAATGAAGGAAGAAAGTATGTCACACTGGCACATCTACACATGCCTATATGGTGACATTGCTACTGTGCTGTGCTTTACTTTTTCCTTTTGGAAATACTAAAGCACAGCACAGTAGCAGCCCATACAGTGCCGTATGCTGGGCACATGGTTATTTTTAGCCTCTACTTTGCCCTAGCAGCACATTATAATGAGAGAGCATGTCGCTACAGTGAAGTAGCTGCTGGTCACATGTAGATGCATGTGGTTGCTATGTCGCCATAGTGCATTGCTATGGTGACATGGCATCACCTGTAGATGCCCATTGTTTGAGTTACAGGTCTTGGGCTGTCAGTCTCACAGACACAGGCAGGATTAAAGGGAGGCTGAGAGCCACATGGAGGTCACTTACCATGCCAGGGTGTGTATGTCATAAACCCACCTAAAGCAGGGTTGATTTGGGGGTTTGCCATGTATCATGCATAGATATTTTTCCAAATTAGATTTACTAATGTAGTGTTTGGTCTCTATTTATAACTAATGTTAAACTATATTCAGTTTTACCATTTTTTTATTCGTATGAACCATAGTTTTGGGTATGAATGCATTTTTGTATTTTCATAACATGACTGGTAACAATCAGGGGAGTGATGGATAAATGAAGTATGACTTGCACCAGACAATAGCTCTTCATACTTCAGAGAAACCCTAGCACCAGAAGATAACCACTGAGGCTAGAAATAGATGTTGCCAAATGGAGCGATTCAGATGTGCTGCTTTGTGTCGTGGCAATGCTGATCACTGCACAGGGTAAAACACATCACCCTTTGTCCTGCCCTTGATGATGGACCCACAAGTTTGGAGCAGCAAAAAACACTGGAGGTTACCCCGCTTAGCGTAGGTCTGGGGCAGCCAGGAAATACCACCTGTTCCCCCACCCAGCCAGCCCTGTGGCCAGCATACCACAAAGTAAGCCCTGCCCCCTTGCCAAATGCCATTCTGCTCTCCTTCCCTTGCCTGGTTCTTTGAGGCTGGCTGAACATGGAAGCACTTTTCCCCCACTGTCCCAACCCACAGCACAGGTTTGGGGCAGCAGGAAAAGGGGGGTTTTCTCCTATCCAGTCAAACCCATAGTGGGGAAAGCTGAGCAGGGAAAGCACCACAAGGTAACAGACGTCTGCCTCAATAAAGTGGCAGAGTCTATCACTACCTATTGTTGTGCCTCTGATTTTCAGGTCATGTGGTGCAACAAAGGGTAAGGACATCTGTTTGCTCTGCATTTGTCCCACATTAAAAAAAATTAAGGTGGCACAAATTAAATTTGATTGGACCAGCTATGTCATTGGGATAAAATTAGACAAGCTTTTGAATGCAAGGCATTATTTGTCAGGTCTCTGATCACAGGAAGGTGGGTGCCAGGGGGCCAACCTCTTTGGCCAGCATACCACAAAGTAAGTCCTGCCCCCTTGCTAAATGCTGTTCTGCTCCCCTTCCCCTGCCTGGTCCTTTTGCTCTGCTCTCTCTTTCCTGCCGGATCCATTGCTCTGCTTTCTTTCTAATCTGCACTGTTCTGTATGCTCCCTGCTGGAAATGTAAACCAAACAAAGTGGCTGTGTGTGCCACTCGTGCCATATGTGCCAAGGGTTGGCACTCCTGGTCTACACTGTAGTGGCAGTGTGTCCTTGCAAAATCATTCCTGAGCATATCCCCACAGGCATGCGCTAACCTGGAAGCAAACTGGGGAGGGCCACATGAGAGTTGCCCTCAGCAACTGCTCTTAAGCATGTTGGAGACTGATGCCACAAGAGAAGCCACAAAAGAGACACCTAAGCCTTAGGGCTGTGCAAAGCTTCAGATCATGATTCAGATTTGGAGATGATTCAGATGATTCAGAGGCCAAATCTACTAATCTGAATCGAATTGCGGGAAGCTTTAGGCTTTCCAAATTGATTCGGAGTTTCCAAATTGATTCAGAAAAGATTTGGAGATTCAGCCATAGGGTATAATGGGGAATCAATGAAATATCTATAACTTTGTTGTCTTTTGGCTGATTCAGAGGAAACTTGCGGGGATAGTAGCCTCTGCTGAGAGCTGATGTGTGCCAAAATTCAAGGAGATTGGTACAGGGGTTTGGGGGGAACTGCACCTCAAGCTGCGGACAAGCAAAACTCATGATATGGGTTGACACTGTGTGTGTTAAGGCACAGCAGGATGACAGCTGCAGGGATGGTAGCCCCTACTGAAGCCACAAAGCCTGCCAGCTGTTGAGAAGATCGGTGCAGGGGCTTCTGGGTTCTGGGGCCCTGCACCTCTAGCTGCTGACAGGCAAAACTCATCTGGTTTAATAAAACAGTGGTTCTCAACCTTTTTTTGTACCACGATCCATTTGTAAACACTGATAGATTTCATAGATGTTTAGGGTCGGAAGGGACCTTAGTAGATCATTGAGTCTAACCCCCCTGCCCTGGGCTGGGCAGTGCCCCACACTCCTGACCTGCTGCCCTCCAGGTCCCAACCCACCTGTGTGGGGAGGGCCCCAAGCAGCCCCTCGCAGGATGAAACTCTGCCAGCCTGCAGGGGAAAGGCCACCGTTTCCATTGTTTTGTCTCCTTTAAAGGAGAATCCACTTGTCAAGTTTGTTGATCCATTTTTAAAGTTGCTTCATGACCCTTTCATACATCCTTGTGGCCCGCTTTTGGGACGTGGAGAAACACCCTCATAAAAGGCATCACCTCTTCCCCGAGTTTGGATCCTCAGCCAATCCAACGGCAGGCGCTTCTCAGCCTGACGACGGGTATCTGTCTTACCTCAAAGCTGGCAAGGAAGAGTTTTGAGTGGGTCTAGTAATAGATCTTGGATTTACCCACAGTACCAGTGTTGGGAGGGAAGACAAGCGAGCGCCGTGTCGTGCTGCCCGGCCGCCTCCGCAAAGCTCTGCATGCGGCCGGAGCAGAAGCCCTTCCCCGCGCGGGCTGCCCGCAGCACCGGCGCCGCCCGGGCCCC